GAATGTTTGCCGTGTATTGTAAAGCTATGTTGCACAATATAAAAAATTAGTGTAACATTTCAAATTTCCACTATGCTAAATTGAATAACATTTTATTAAATAAGGGGGAAGAAGATCTAAAAAAAAATTACAAGTGTAACCATCAGAACAATCGGTCGAAAACCTGATTTCCGATCTTTCTCTTCCATAACAATAATTCATATTATCCCCAGTGTAACCTAATTATTTTCACTTATACCTACTAAAGATCACTTTTATAATGAGTTATTTATGCCAAACCTAGTACATAACTGTATGGGGTATACGGTGTATATACTAGTGTAGATCAAAACTAATTAATCTGGAATAATAGATCCCTCTAAATATGAATATTTTGTTATCAAAATTAGAATGATCACCAACTATTCCAGTATTCCCAGATAGGTTTATTAGGAAAGATCAAAAAACATTTATTTTTCCTTTCTATTGTATAAGTTTCTCATGAATAATAAATCTAATGACATTGATTACAGGTGTCAGATTTAATAAAAATTTTCCCATCACAAACAAACACACAACTCTGTGCTCTTAACACACCTCATAGCTGTGTAATTTTTTCCATAGTTGAAGCTCCACAAATGTTTGAAGGCTTTGATAAAGTGGGATTTATCTGCACCAAGTGAATGTTTTTTTTCAAATCCATTTAATTAAAGACAACTCTTTTAAAATTATGCAGAATTCAAATTATTTCATATGATATATATTTGAATTAGATTCTGTCATTGTGGTTAAAGAATTCAAGGGATTTTGGTTTGACATCTTTTAAAGGTTTCTTCTTGACAAAAGTTTACATGTAAAATCATCCGAATCTGGTGATGAAACATTCCATTCAACAAGGAATTCAACAAAAATCCAAAGTGTTTAAGTTCAATTTATCAGAAAATAATGATATTATTATTTCTTCTATTCTTTGATTCCTTAATTTTTTTTAATAAATTATAATAAAAATTTACAACAATCGAAATTGAATTTGTAATATTTGGTGATACGAATGTTCACTTTGTCAGCTTTGCAGCATGCTATATATTAATATTAAAAATGTCTTTTCACGTGGCAAAGTTTTTTTTGTATTTTGTGTCTAAATTTAATTGGACAATAAAAAAATTCTAAATATAATTGAACAAATTTTTTTTCATTAAGCAAAAATTAACAAATTAATTTATTTTTTCAAGAAAATATGGAAGATCAAGCTAAAGCCCCCCCACAAATTTTAAACGTAGCAAAATATTTAAGGTCTACTGTAAAAACTCGTCAAGGAATTTTGAACGGCAAAAGAGTTGATTATTTTAAAGGTATAGAAAAAACCTATTTTTATTTATTTCACTGTGCTATTTTTATTATTTTTTACAACAAAAGTTTATATTAAAAAAGTTTATAATCTTCAAATTATAAATTGATTAATAATAAACAAACAACTATTTATAATTATAGGTAAAGCAGCTATAAAACAACTTCTTAAAGAGTCATATTCTAAACAAAAGAACATTCCTAAAATCAATAATGAAAACGAAGCAAATGGTGTGCTTGAAGAACTTCTTAGTTATACATTTTATTTGAGAGCTGAACGATCAGGTAATGAAGGAAGTACATCATCGCCTCGAATTAAAAATTTAGGAATAACACCAATGCAAACATGGAAAGAAGATCAATATTATGTATGGTTTTACCAAGGATCTCAATTGAAGACGATACTAAGTGGATTGTTGTTGGTTTCTATTGTTTTTCTTGCAGTATTATTTCCATTATGGCCATCTTCAATACGAAATGGTGTTTGGTATATTTCTGTAGCAATATTAGGTTTGTTTGGAGTATTGATGTTGGTATCTTTGTTTAGAATGGTATTGTTTATAACTACATTGGTCATAGTACCACCTGGGATATGGTTATTTCCTAATTTATTTGCAGACGTTGGGTTTGTGGAAAGTTTCATTCCGGTTTTTGGTTGGGAAGAAGTGAAAAAAAAGGAAAATATTGGCAATGATAATCATGATGAGGATGAGGGACAATATGAAAATGATGAATATAATGATGATATTAAAAAGAAGCCTAAAGATCTTCGCACCACTGTTCAAGATGGAGATGAAGACGAAGATGTGGAGGGGGGGGATGGTGATGATGATGATTATGTTAATGTAAAAGATGATGATAATAAAAGGAAGGTTGAATGATTTAATAAAATTAGCTAGCTAAAATAATCATCAACAACATTTAATATTTTAACTAAACTAATTATTGACTTGCTAGTAATTTATGTTGTAATAATATATTTTTATATATATAAATTATTCCATAAAAAAATTGATTGTTTTGTATATTATAAATATTATTATTATTATTACTATTTTTTTTTCCTTACACCTTGTTTTTTTTCTTTTAATCCCTCTTCGCTTCATATTTACTACGAGTGTTTTAACTAATAATGTTAGAATCAAAATTATATTAAAAATTTTTTTTCAACTTTTTAATCTTTAAATAACTTCGAGGATGTAAATATATCATCTAATATATTTTAACATAAATATATATACAAAAGGATTTAACACATTGGAAAATTGTGTAATAAAAAATTGTAAAAATAACTTCCCATTTTTTAAATTATGAATAAGACAATTTTAAAAATTATTATTTTACATTGTTGGATTTGATTTCTTATGACCAAATAATGGTTGATAACGGTCCCAATGCTACGCTTGATCTTGAGTGATTTGACATTGCTATTTTTTGAGAACGTATTGTTGTTGAATTGACATTAAATGAAGAATGATCTACTTTGAATATTTTTACAGTGTTTGCCAATCTACATTAATAAATTCAATGTCGAATCTAATTCGTATTTTGCATAAAATCTATCTTTTAAAACACAAAATAATTTTTATTAAAACATCATCTAATTAAATTTTCTTTATAACAATCAGATAGTGTCACAATTGTTTTAAATTCACAGGATTTAATTTACGTGGTTGTAAATTTTACATAATGGTTTCTTTAAACAAGGGGAAGATAAACCCCATGTGCAACCGTCAAGTCAACACCGAAAATAAATTTATTTTTATATTATTTTACTTGTTCTGTATCGATGATAAAAGTAGTGAAAGTGTACTATGGAAATTCTGCCAGATTCGCCAATTAATAGGCAATACTCATCATAAATAGCTATTGGTCCGAGTATTTTCCTCTCGTGCAATTGATCTGTCAGTTTTTCATCTTATATGTATTAGTTGAGTCAAAATAAAAATTAAAGTTTCCTATCACAAATATGCACACCTCATCCCTATGGAATTTATTCCACAGGCGAGACGATTGAAGGGAAAATTTCTTTAACAATGATGCATGTTCCTCGTGTAGTCTGACCAAAGATTTCCACAATGATACAATGATGCAATTAAATTCCGGGGAACAATATGGCCCTGGAGTTCATTGAAACTGAAAATAACTGTAATGTTCAAAGTAGTGAGTGTACCTTTAACATCTTAAATTTCTGATAATAAAATGTTGCATATTGTATTGTTTTCCTCCCACATTCAATGGTCTTGTTGTCTTTTATAATTGTTTATTATTATATTTAACATTGATAATGGTTATGCAAACCAATATACCAATTACTTGTTTATTATGCATGATAAGATCTCTATAATAATTACCTATTGCTATATAATGTAGACAGATGACATGACAACTTTTGTCCTACAGTCGGAACTCGTTAAACCGATGTACTTGTTTTGGGCTCAAAGCATCGTTTTATTAAGTAGTTAATATTTTTTTTAAAAAATTCGGTTTAAACAGTTATACAAATATTCGTCTATCCTATGTTGACGTGCTAACGAACTTTTATATAATAAAATATTACTTCTAACGAATTTTAAACGAGTAGCAAGATCTTTATTCGTTGGAACAATACGTAATAGTAAATCATTTATAAAATTATACAAAATAAACGAAGTTTCTTTCGATAAACTGATATTATTCGTATTGTCAAGTTATAATTCATTATATGTGGAATCATATGTAATCGTCTTTAAACATTAAAAGTGAAACAATAGGAATATGAATAGGTAAACTAGAAAAACTCCATTATAACAAAAATTCATTTTATCGAGTTACGTCTTAACGAGTTTCGATCGATGCCTTGCTTGACTTGAATTTATTTATAATATCAATAAGACAAAAAAAGAAATACCTCTCTGGTTATTAACAAACAACATATCTTCTTTCGGAACCGACCATACCGTGCCAAACAGGGTTGGTCGTATAACTCAAATGAGCAATTGGCTAAACTGACTAAACTATTTAGTCATGTGTTAAGTCAAGTTTAGCCAAGTTCAGTCAAGATGATTATTACAAAATTAGGTTTTTAACACCTTTACTCTGCCAGCCCTGGTGCCTCTAATATGTTTATTAATGATGCCTAGTTCCCCTCCTTACCTTGAACTCTTCGTCTAAAATCAATTGTTTTTCCCAAAAAAATGTTGTAAGTAAGTGTTATTCATTATTAAAAAGAATGGTGTTTGTCGTCACTCTGGTTTAAAATTAATTTTAAATTTTTGTCTTGATAGCAACTTGAAAAGGGAGAAGAGAATTCAGAGAAATTCAAGGGAAAGGTTAAATGACTTGGAAAATAAAGTTGGATGAGGAAGAATACAGGAATGATGAACAGAAGAAGATAAGACAGAGGAATTGGAGAAAGAAAAGAAAGAGATAAAGAAGATTGGAAAGAGTAAGTTATATTTTTACAAAAGAAATTACTAAATTCGAAGGAAAAGGTAATGAACAAATTGTGTAAAAAGTATGTAAAAATATATTTTCCATTCATTCCATTTCATTTTATTTTATTTGAAAAAACATTTTATATACTGTTTACGACTTTAACTAATCTTTTTTTCTTTGGTTATTCATTAATTTGTTTTAATTAAACCTGTTCTCTGCTAATTATCCCGAATTAATACTGTACATCTTTCATCCATTAAAGAATCAATCAGAGAGACGGGTAAGGACAATCTTTATGTTGAACATTTTACAATTATAAAATGCAAATAACTTCATTGGTTTTTTTCTGTTACGGCTATCATTCTATTACAATTCCTACCGAAACCAAGCGTGAGTGGGTTGGAGACGTTGTCACGGTTATTTACCTTTGATCACATTTATTTTGTTGATTCACCATCTGTTGCTGCTGCACATCAAGTATTCCCGAAACATCAAAGGAATGCCAATATACAATATCATCGCTAAAGTTAATGTCTATAACTGTTTTCACATTTTCTGTAACTGTAAATTTTAAAGCCTGAGTCTCTACCTTTTCTGCGACCTCTGGAACTCCTAAAACTGTCTGCAACCCTTGCAAGTATCTGCAACATCTGCAACTGTCTGCAACTATAATTATGATGACTTAGTATCAAAAATGGAATCACATAACTACAAAAATGATGTAAATAAATTATCTTTTATTATTACTATTTATTATTTTAAATAAAACAACATTATCTTTTACCATTAATTATGTTTTATTAACAACATTGATTTTTTTTTAATAAAACCATTTTATAAAACTGATTATTTATTGTACATATTAATACTAATATAATTATTAATCATGTGACAGATTTATTTTGTTGGTATTCTATCAATTTTTATAGTGATTGAAGTAGCTGTCCAATCGGAGGTTGCGGCAGTTACAGACAGTTACAGACTTGCAGCAGTTGCAACATTAGATGTCAAAATTTTTTTGGGTTGCAACTTCCTGGTTTGCAGAGCCATCTTTAGTCTGCAGAATGGTGGTCAAAATTGTAAATTGAATCAGTATATATATTCCAACATTCATCCATGATATGGAAAATGAAATTTATACAGGGCTTACACAAATTGCTAAGATATTTACTAACGACCTTACGTAAATCTTTCAGAAGTCTTGCTGATTATTGTGCTAAATTGCAATCCAAATCTTATGATATTGACACCAATATCTATTTCCTTTTCCAACTACTTGCAATGGTGTATCCTTCGATTATACTTTATATATATTCAAACACTTGTTCTGGTTTCAGAAGCTAAAAGCACAACAAAAATTGTCCATTCATCTTTTGATTCTGTTCCGATTCTTCCCAAAAAATCAATTGACAAACGAAACAAAAAACAGCAAAAGACATAATTCCAAATCAAACAGCAAACTTCAAATAGCATAATACCTATTTGCGAATTTACATATTAATATAACAAATATTTATAAAAAGGCGAGTAGTAGTGTTCCTAACCGAAAAATCAAATGTTTACAAATATTCGAAAATCAATTTATTAAAGTTATTATTATCATTATTATATATAATTTATATTTCGAATATTTTATTTGTTTGGGATATTCGTAATTGTTTCAAACCATTTGTAACAAATATTTGTACAATTACAAATATTTGATAAATAATTTGATTCCTTAATTATGAGTGGTTTGACTGATTTAACATTAGAAGATGAGCCAACTCATGTTTATGAAGAATATGCAGGATAACGAACAAACCAAATCGGAAACTTTTTCATCTATTTTGCCATTACCACCGAATAATTCATCAACCATCAGCCAAAAAAAAAATGTTAAGAAAGGTAGACAACTCGAGATATTCATTTAACGATGATGGGAAGTGTAAGAACATGCCAAATCCAAGTAAAAGTGTCTTCTCAAAACCAAATGGAATACGGGGGGGGGGGTTTTGTAGTAAATATAATTTTTAGTAGGTATACTGTGACTTGTTGAGTATTTATCAAAATTAATGAATATTTGAAATAAACGAATATTCGAAACAAATAAAATTGTTTTTAAATAATTGCTATTACGAATATCCAAAATAATTACAAATATTCAAATAAATATTTGAAATTCGTAATTTTGGATTTACGAATATTTGAATTGGTAGGATTACGGTTAGGAACCTTAGCGAGTGGAACATTTCTTATTGAAAGCAAGCTTCAAAAAGTTTTCCATAAAAATATCTTCTAAATTCAGAAATTTTTTCTCACGCCATGATAATCTAGATTCCGAAACAACGAAAACCTATTTTCTGTTTTTCGAAAATTCATGGCACCTATTACTATTACTCCAAGTATGCCATTGAATGGAAAATAGTATGTATATGCATGTATGTTAAATTGAGAAATTGAGAAACATAAATTTTTTGAATTCCAAATTCGTACTGATCAACAAGAATTTCATTCAATATGTAAATATTAAGAAGGAAATAATAATATTATTATTCTTGTGTTAATATGGGTCACATAAATACCGCCTCTGTTAATTATAAAAATAAATTTATAAAACTAATGAATATGAAAAAAGAAGGCGTCTCGAGAGGTTCGATAGATTTTACAACAAGTTTTAACTCTGGAGTAGAAGTTATTCAAAATCTTTCATCGATTGGCACTAGTTTGGATGCAACCAAACAAGCACTTGGTGTAGTCAGTGCAGTCAGTGAAGCTGTTAAACCATTTATTCCACTAATAAGCATTGTAACTATTTTGGCAGGAGAGATAATTCAAGTTTATGAGAATGCACAGTATAATAAAAAAATTTGCAATGTTTTTATTGATCGTGTAGAAGCTGCTCAATTATCAGTTAAAGCTTTACAACGAAGAAAAGAAGAAAATGTAAAGGCATTTCAAGATGAGATATATTATAAAAATTTTGTGCGTTTTACTGAGGTTTTGAGAAAAGTAAAGGATTTTCTTGAAAGTATATCTCAACTTCATGGATATAAAAAATATCTTCATGCAAATAATGTTAAAGAAAAATTTAAATCACTTACCAAGGAATTTGATGGTGTTATGAATGATTTACATTTCACACTAACCGTGTCTGCTCAGAGTCAAAGTGAAATTGATCAAAAAAGTTTAAAGGAAGATCTCGATGGGATGACTGAGGTAGATTATTATACTATTATTATTATTACCATTATTATTATTATCATCTTCTAAATTTTTCTCAATTAAAAAAAAACAGTTCTTGGATAAGATTCATGGTGGCATTGTTGATAACAATCATCAAATTAATACAGTACTTGAAGAAGTTTTGATTATAAAAGGTCAAATGGATTCAATTGATAAAAATACACCATATAATGAAAATCCCATTAAACCAGCTCAAATATCACCAGCTGAGTTAGGGGACACTATGTATCCAAAAAAAGGAGATCGCAGAGGAAAACCACCTTATATTTTTAAAAAAATCTTGAAAAAAGCAGGTTCAGTGGACGTTGCATGTAAAGTTGTCTCAATACCAAGTGAAAAGGAAAAACCACAAGATTATCAAAAGGTACAAGCACTATTTACTATTTTAGGAAAGCTACGTGGTTCAGATAATATAATAAAATTTTATGGTCTTTCAACTATTGATGGTGCACAAGTGATGGTGCTTGAATGGGCAGAATTGGGCAGTTTAAAAGAAGTTTATGAGGCGTATGATATTGGATGGCGTACTAAAGTTGAAATAGCTCTCGAAATTTGTCGTGGCCTTACATTTTTGCATTCATGTTTAATTCTTCACCATGATATTCGTTGTGATAATATTATGGTAATTAAATTTATCATTAAATAATAATATTGTTATTAAACGCTATTATTATTTACTAATTATTACTATTATTATTTAATATTAATATATTATTTATTTAATAAAAATAATAAAAGATGGACAAAAATTATAAATCAAAAATCGCTAAATTTGATTATGCCCGTCATACTGATGGTGTAACTTCTGATGTGAAAAATATAACCGAAGTTATTCATTGGCTAGCTCCAGAGAAATTGAGATTTGGACCAAGACAACGTTATAACTTTAAATGTGAAATTTTCAGGTATCATTTTTTTTAAAAAGGGAAACCAATATTTATAATTTAGTAATTTATTGATTAATAATTTAGTGATTTACGTTATTTGTGTATAGTTTTGGTATGTTGCTTTGGGAGCTTGCTTTTGAAAGAGTTCCCTATGAAAAATGGGATATGTCAAAAGTTAGGGAATATGTATTAGCTGGTGGTAGAGAAAACATACAATTTGGTGAAGCAGATGATGAAACCAAAAATCTCCAAGAAGATTATGCTAAAATTATAAAAGGAGGTAAGATTAATAATTTAACATACAAGCAAATTTATTTATTTGTAAACTAATATTTTTAACTTATTATCACTATTATTTAATTTGTAAATATTTACCAAAAAAAAAAAGCATGGGAAGATGATCCTTCAATAAGATCATCACTTCAGTTTGTTTTCTTTCAATTAAATGGTTTATATTCACAATACCCTCCTCCTGTTGCTGGAGCACGTTTACACCCACAAAAAACGATTGATTTTGATGGGTCTTTAAGAGGAGGAAAGAAACCTGTTTCTGTGAGTGATGAAGGTAGCAGTAAACAACTCGATGTATTATTCCAATCTGATAAAATTACACAAATCATGACACTTGATGATGGTATTAACGCTCATAAAGAAAAAAAACACGAAAAAGCATGGACGTGTTTTAAAGCACATGCTGATCTTAACAATCCAAGAGCTAAATATTGGAAAGGATATTATTTGTGGGAAGGATATGGTGGTAATAAAAAAGATAGAACATCTGCAGCCAAATTGTTTAAAGCAGCAGCCGACGAAGGCATTCCTGATGCACAATTAAGATATGCATTCTCATTGGTTGAAAATAAAACCAAGTTTAACAAAGAAGAATTTATCCGATATCTTAAATTAGCTGCTGACAATTCAAATCCAACAGCACAATTTAATTTGGGTGATATGTATCTTAATGGAAAACTTGGCGTTCCAAAAAATCGAGACCAAGGAATTAAATATTTGAAATTGGCAGCTTTAAATAGACAACCAAAAGCTACCGAAGTGTTAAAGGGGATGAAAATTGATATTTATAACAGTTAATCTTATTAAAAAAATAGAAATATTGTCATTGATTATGCTCAACAAAAGAAAATCACAACTGTATTTTTATATATTTATTTATTTATTTTTACTTATAATTGTTTGTAGATATTAATTATTTATATATATAATATTTATTATTTTCATTATTTGGCAAATTTATCATTTTTTTTTACATTTTATATATGTAAAGAACATTTGATTATTTATTAAACATAAAGATAAAAGCTTCTTTTATAATGCAATAATACATAAATTTTTTTTGCAAGGATATTTATTCACAATGTTAACAACAATGATCACACACTTCTTTTTTTCGCTAAAATGAGGCCTTTCATCGTCTGGTAAAAATTCTTTCCCTGCATGAGCCAATAATATTAATAATGTCGAGAAAGTCTAGCACCAAATTTTGAATCTGTTAATAGGTCTAGATATCTTCCAGTGTCTCCATGAAATTCTAACTGCCCACCCACGTACACCATATTCGATTCACGAATGTAACGGGTACATATCATCTTCCAAATATCCCTTTTGTTTTGTCATTACTTAACAAACTAGAATGACAATTGCACGCAACCATCATTTTAAAAAATTTCAACTTAACAATATTTACTCATTTGAAGTCCCAATGAGTATTTCTTATCTTTCCGTCTTTTTTCTCCATATGCGACGCTACACACCAATACTGTCGACATGCTACGCGTCTTTTCTCCTTTTTTCAAAAAAAAAAAACGCTTTGTATGGTTTACCGACAATTTCAGGTTTATTTTTTCGTACTAATTGATGCCTTTATTTCTTTTTTTGCAGTAGTCTATACACCATATAAAAAACACAATATGGAGTAACTAGCGTCTTTTACATTATATGGCGAGGGTAATTAGTTATCATGATAAATGATCGGTATTAGTATGTTTTCGCATAATTGTTTATTAATATTATAAGAAATATCACAGGCGAGAAAGACAACATGGCTGTTGGAGATATCTCTCATGAAGGGCTGTGTGTGCTTGGACGATTTGGGAACAAATTCGATCTGCAATGTTTGTTATCGGATGGAAACTTATATATATTTAAATCATTTCAATCATTCTTTTGCTTTCTCGAGCATATATCGCCAATCTGATCTGCATCGCCCGATGATACAACGATGTGATTCTGCTCTGGAGTTTGTTGGAATTGCATCATTCATTGTCAAAGAGATGGCTAAAGCTGATGCTGGTATTTGGCTATTGGCTAACAAAAAAACCCACCGGTGAATCACTGTGTCAAGTTATTGGGACGACTCTTTAAAAAGACTGGCTCTTGGTCATGATCATTTAAGAAAAATAATTTTCTCGCTGTCTTGGCTGCTTTGACCTCCCTCACCATTTTTGTCAACCAAGTAGCCAAATGAAAACATTAGCTAAAGCCACTTGCTTGTCAACACCTCCAAACCTGTAGATTTTACCCATCCATGGGAAAATATCCCATGATTATGAGAGCGTGTAAACACCTTGGCCACTTGTTTGAGGATGGAAGTTTATTAAATCTAAATCTGACACCCGTGATCAATACTGGTCAGACAGATTTAGTAATTATATATTTTTTCGAAGTG